TAAATATACTTTATTACTAGCTGAAGTCATCATTTGTCATCCAACTATCTAAAGTCTAAGTTACAGGCTGACTTCAGGTCTGGTTTAGATCATTGTTACTTATAAATTATATATTTTTCTGGTATAAATCTGCTGTTTTACATGATTGTTGAATAAAATTAACATAATTATTAATTTATTGTAAAAACGTGACAGAATCTGTGAAACAGATCCAGTTCAGCTGCTGTTTATCTGTTAGTTTCTCCTGTTTGTTGTTTCTGCTCCTCCATGATGTCACAGACTAACAGTGGACGGGATGGGCGGGGCTCAGTCTAGTGATCTTATTCAAGTCTATGCGTTTCAGCTAAACTACTGTGTCTCTCTGGGTCCTGTCGGGTCGGTCGGGTCCATTTAGGACCTGAAGTTTCCTCCCCGCGGGATGGAGGCCCAGACCAACCCGGCCTCCTGGCCCTGGTTCCAGCTGATGGGCGACGCTCTGGAGGGACGTTTGGCGGGAAAAGCTCCCAAAGTGACGCCCGTGTGGACCAGCGAGGAGGACGGCGTGTTCGTCTCGTCCCCACCCACTGACAGGGACTGCTCGATGGCGGCGGACAGGAGCAGCGCGTCGGAGCTGGAGAGCGTGGTGGGCGGAGACAACGGCGAGGCCGACGAGAGCGTCACGTACATCGACGCCAGCGGGGAGGAGTGCTCCACGCCGTCAGAGTTCTCCTACAAAAGTAAGACTGGCTGTGAGTGTTCTGGTCCTGGTTCTGTTCCTGGTCCTGGTTCTGGTTCTGGTCCTGGTTTTGGTTCTGGTTCTGGAAACACTCATCGTCGTGTGTTTGTGTTGCTCAGTGTCGGATCAGGACACCAGGAGGATGATCAGACTCCGAGCTGCTAACGAGATGCTGTTCACAGGGAGGAGGAACGCTGCTAAAGCCGCCTGGAAGTAAGAGTCCGGTCCACCTACGAGCCCGACCCGGTTCTGTTCAGTAGATGTTGTGTTCATGTTGTTCTGGTTCTGATCCGATTTTAGAGCCATCCTGAAGGAGCTGGGCCTGCAGGGGAAAGTCTCCACCTACCAGATGGCCAAGAAGTGGGACAACCTGAAGAGAAGGTACAAGGTGAGCTATCAGAACCATCAGAACATTTGTTTCTGTGGGTCAGAACCATCAGAACATTTGTTTCTGTGGGTCAGAACTATCAGAACTTTTGTTTGTGTGGGTCAGAACTATCAGAACATTTGTTTCTGTGGGTCAGAACCTCCAGAACCTTTGTTTCTGTGGGTCAGAACTATCAGAACCTTTGTTTGTGTGGGTCAGAACCATCAGAACTTTTGTTTGTGTGGGTCAGAACCTCCACAACCTTTGTTTCTGTGGGTCAGAACCATCAGAACCTATGTTTCTGTGGGTCAGAACCATCAGAACCTTTGTTTGTGTGGGTCAGAACCATCAGAACCTTTGTTTGTGTGGGTCAGAACCATCAGAACTTTTGTTTGTGTGGGTCAGAACCATCAGAACCTTTATTTGTGTGGGTCAGAACCATCAGAACTTTTGTTTGTGTGGGTCAGAACCATCAGAACCTTTATTTCAGTGGGTCAGAACCATCAGAATAGATGTTTCCATGTCTTTGACCTGAGTCTGTAATTTCCCACGCTCTCTCAGGACCTGAAGTATCCTCCTGCAGGGATGGAGAGCTTGGCAGATGGCTCCGCCTCCTGGCCGTGGTTCCACCTGATGAATGAAGCCATGGAAGGTCGGTTGGCAATCACCGCCCCCCTCCTCACCCCTGTCACTCAGGATGATGAGCCTGACCCCGCCCCCAGGCACAGAGCCCGCCCCACCCCTGCCCCGCCTCCCTGCTCCTCAGACTTCGTTCAGGAGGCGTTTGTGGACGAACAGGCCCAGCGCAGCGCCGAGCCGTGCGACGGGCCGCTGGGAGGACTGGAGCGGGAGTGGGCGGAGCTGGAGAGAGAGAGGGAGATGGTCGAGCGAGACCGCGCGGCCGTGGAGAGAGAGAGGGCGACGGTGCAGGCGGAGCGGCTCTGGTTGGACCGGGAGCGGGCGGCGCTGGAGAGAGACCGAGCCCTGGTGGAACAGGAGAGGGCGGCGCTGGGCCGGGACAGGGACGTCCTGGACCAGAGGGCCCTGATGCTGAACTCTGTGGGACACACGGGACACCTGAACAGTCTCATGTAAGCTGAACGCTGCCGGGACCCAGACCAGATGCTGGCTGGACCGAGACCAGGAGCTGCGTGGACTTGGACCTGATGCAGCAGGAGCAGGGACTGGACTCTGCAGGGACATGGACTGGACTCTGCAGGGACATGGTCTGGACTCTGTAGGGACATGGTCTGGACTCTGCAGGGACATGGTCTGGACTCTGCAGGGACATGGTCTGGACTCTGCAGGGACATGGTCTGGACTCTGCAGGGACAGGGACTGGACTCTGCAGGGACA